TTCAGTTAGGGCCAAGCAAGGCTAGGGAGCATCTAAACTGCAAGGTCTCTGGGTTAGTAGGATGCCTGCCATGGATTTGGAAATATCTGAAGCCCCAGACTGATGAGTTGGGGAGGTAGGATACTTGCTGGTGGTACAACATTTCTTTTTTCCAAAGTGAAAAATGAAATTTATTTTTTCCTGAGTGTTTCCCATTTAAAATATGCATCAGAACTAACTCCTAGACTAGTGAAGTAGTAGCATTTTAAAAAACAAAGGTACAGTTATTGTGCTAAGATTGTTGTGGTGCCTGGTGGCAAATCCACATTACTCCAATTGATTGGAAGTCGATATAAAATGGTTCCAACAAGTGTAGGCATTTTTGTGATTATCCAGTTTAGAGCTGGAAAGTACATTGTTAGAAATCATCTCACAGGGTCTTATTCTAGAATGTCCTTGAGTGCAGCCCTGAAAGTTTTGTGGCATGCGTACACTAAAGATGCAGCATTTGCTAATGTATAGAGATAGTGTAATGAAGGAAGATTGAAAAGCAGAGCTGTCACTGTAGTAGCTTTGAGAAACAACCGCACTTTCCTCAATGTAGTGTAAGACTCCAATTTGAAAAAAGCCAGTGTGCCTCTGTAACTTACCTGCCCTTCTCTCAATATCTCTTAGAGCCTAGCATCTCTTTTCAGAAGCTGCATGCCTTCTAAAATGACAAATTCGGCTTGAAATAGGTGGTACCCAAAAGGTGGTAGTGGGTTCTTCATGTCTCTTAAACGTTCTTACTACCAACAGAGAGAAATAAAATGGATCTCTTTTGTTGTTTTACTGGCGCAATGGAGAAAGGATGGGAGTTCTGTGAAAATGGAAATCATAAAGGAGTGACAAAAAGTGAGGAAGAATGAAAGGATTGAGATACTGGTAACAAAAGATAATAAGGGAAGAAGAGAGAATGTGAAATGAAATGATGAAATAATAAGGGCAAGAGAAAAAGAATTAATGTGAAGGGGGGGAAATTATGCAAAAAGAAGAAAAGAATGCCACATAAGAGTAAAAGAAAAGAAACTGTCATGAAGGACAAAGAAAAAGGTAAGGAAAGGGGAAGAAAGGAGGAAGATTATAGTGATTTTATTTAATAAATCAGAATGCTGAAAACTCATATCACATCTTGGGGTCAGGATGCACAAAACTGCTGTTGCTGAAATAGCCTTGTCATCATCAGACCCCAGTAACAATAGGTCTATTTGATGCCCTTGGTCACGTGGGTTCATGCCCACCATGTTACTTAGAGCCACCACTCAGTGGAGCTGAGAGAGAAAAGAAGGGCACCAACTGATTATGGGGGACAAAAAATGACACAAGGATGTACAGATGGATCAAAGATTTAAAAAAGTGCACCCTCAGGGGACACTGAGCACAGCACCCCAGATAGCATCCACCAACTCTCAAAGGCACCCATGAACAATAGGAGTACTGCTAACTTATGGGAATCCTTATTCACTCAGTCATTTGAAATGCATCCTGGATGCCTGCTGTGGTATTACTTGTCAGCCTTTAAAGCAGCTATCTAGAAGTTGTAGGACATAACTTCACAGAATCAGAATAATCCCTTTTCATTACGGAGGCTGTAAAGGCCCAATCAAACAGTTTCCAGCATGTTATGGGGGGTGCTGAGTATCATCAGCATCCATTGATCTGTCAGGAAGCACTTAGTACTGTATAGGACTGGACACTACATTTGATGTTTTAAGCATCTTTCTTTCACCATACAAGGAATTACACATACTTGCAGGACAGTTAGTGCTAGTGCATGGCATCATGCCCACTTGTACATGGACATATCAAGAAGGCAAACAGGATGATCCAGTGGTTAGTGTCCAGGAACAGGAACCTAACTGGTATGTGATTTTAGGAAAGTCATTTCACCATCCTGTTTTGAGTCCCCTCACCTGTAAAATGCCAATCATGACATTTGCAAAGCACAGAGAGAAAAATTAACTGGGAACAGCCTGAATTTGAATCATGTTGCAGCCATATTTAATAATCATCATCATTTATACCACCGAACAGCCTAGAAGCCCCATTGTGTGGGGCCCTGTACCACCTAAATAGAAAAGACCTTAATGGACTAATCAGAATGAGCTCACAGACCTGCTCAGTAAAGCTGATCACAGGGCATTATGGTTGAGGGTAATGACTCATTTCACAGAAAATATGCTTAGCCTATATACAGGTTATGATATCATCAATGGCAGCTGTCAATAGACTCCCTCATTTACTGAGTTCTGTACCACCTGCTACTTTGCAAGTTTAAAGGCAAGATTCACTCTTTTAGAGAAAAGTTAGTTTTGTTGCTCTTAATGTGATGTATAAGAAGAAGGTTTACCTCATAAGATTTACAGAAGAAATAATATTATATAAATGATGTAAGATTGTTTTCAGGTAGTTTTTCTTTCAGGTAATAATGAAAAATACATACCTCAGCTAGATAGTAGTGTATGCATATTTTATGTAGGAGACGTTTTTTGTCTTGATGTGCTAAAAGTTGCAAGACAAAAAACTCTCTCCTGTCTTTTAGGACATCAATTTATATAACCCACGAATGTGCAAATGTCATTCTGGTTAAAACTGTATAGCTATTTTTTTAACTGCGTAGCTAGCAAAATTAACATGCTAAAAGTTGGTTGGACCATGGCCCAGGTGGCTCACCCCATTCCGCAGCCTATGCTTTGTACACACAGTCCATACTTTACCCTGCTCTCATTCTAGCTAAATTAGTTACTGCTAATCCCATAGTAACTGCTATTAGGAATAAGACTTTAAATTGGTTATTGATAGAAAGCAGTATCATGTGGTTTAAATATATTCAATCGTACAACAAAACTGATGGAGTTCAACAAACTATGGAAGAGAAATTGTGACACAGAGAAAGCATCCTTAGCTACAAACTATTTAATACTAGTAAAGAAAAGTCACTTCTCATAGAACTGTGTTGATGAAAAGCAACTGCTGATGAAAACTGCACCAGATGCACTAGTGGAGAATTTTTGAAAGTTGCTTTGTATGAATAATGAGCTGTTTAAGTAACATTTCTGGGTAAATTTAAATGGCATGCATCAGAGAATATTCAACTGGACTACAAAGTGAGATCAGAGAATATTTTTTCCAGCTCACAGTAATTAAGCTGTGAATGTTGCAGCTGCCTGACAGACTGCATTATTATATAAACCATCCAGCAATCATAAAATAAATGACAAGTGAAGGGAAAACTGTTTTGAATGAATCATAATGGCACTAGATATTTATCTTGTTCTGATACTCCAATTATAAGGGTTTGATGTTTTAATTGGTCTTCAGACCATTTAACCAGTGATAATCTTTCACTGTTCATAGTATCCTTGCTGACACTGACAACCATGGCACACATGCAAAAATTAATGGAAGGCAGCAATAGCCACTTTTGGAAACTAAAATTTGACATTAAAATATTAGACATATACATTTTACTGTAAAGTTAGTAAAGTAATCCCTATGTCCAATTGCTAGGGAGCAGCCCAGTGGAAAAGAATAGGTAAGAAATAGTATAAGGGGAATATTTAAAGTAATGCCTTTTTGTCTAATATCAACCCTGCCAATGCTCTGTTAAGGATTTTCAGCTCTATCTACCTTGTGTAACCAGATTTTAATTAGACGCTGTAATTTCAGTACAAGAGGACCCAGCCCTCTTCATATCTCTGTAGTAGTCTAGTATGTGGAGGATATTTATGTTCAACTACTTACACTTCACACCTCTTTTTTTCAAAGGATCCTAGGGATTTGTGGCAAAGTTGAACTAGGCATGAAGGACACACGGGCTGCATCCCCAGAAGCGGGAAATTTCAGTTTGCGACACCTCAAAGCCTTTGAGGCACCACAAAATGCACACAGCACATGTTAATATATTTGCTGCATTGCATATTTGCAGAGTGGGGGCAGAATTAGATTCCAGGAAGTCCTGGTATCTAAAAAACGCTCCAAAAGTGTGTGAGGGGGGGAGGTGGTGGTGGGAGTGCACGTGGCTACAGTGTGCGCTGCCCGAAACCGGAGCTGGCCAGCCAGAGCTATGCTCTGGCTGCCAGACAGGCTTCACGTACCTGGACTGTTGCTGCTGCAGCCCTGGGAGGCCCCTGGGACCTCCTTTACCCAACCTGGAGCAATTTGCTGTGCACCACAGCATGCATGTAGGAGCATTCCCTAGAGACAAGTAGCAGCAGCACAAATGTGTGCCACTGCTATTTGTCCCTTGGCAAATACATGTGCATGCTCGTGGGAATGCACCCATAGTAGTTTCATAAAGGACTATTCTCTGTTCTACATTGCTATCCACAGGCTATATAGCTGGCCCAGAAAAGAGGCACCTAACTCCTGTCTGGGTACCCAGGACCCATCACACACTTGCTTCTAACTACTGCCCATATACAGCAATCTACAGGATTATGTAGATTGTTTTGAATGGAAAGGAGCAGCCACAGTCAGAGTCAGTGTCAGAGCTGGAAATGGGAGGTAGGATTCCAAGTTCATACTCCCATGTTCCAACTCTTAAGTCATGCCACTTAGTAGTCACTGCTAGGATAGCATGTGGGAAAGGATGCAAGAAAAGAATCAAAAGTTTCAAGCAATCTAAAATGTTAGGCTGATGATTCTCAATCTTCTTAGGCTTGATATCCCTTGGTAGGTTTGAGTGACTCCTTGGAAAATGCCAGCTCTTTTTTCACTTGTTTTTTTCCCTACAGAAAAATAATAGAGCATTTTTTCTGTTACAAAGAACTCAGAAAGGCCACAGCAGGTCAGAATGTTTTAACACATGGTTTGTACACTTGACTGCTAACATTGCACAGAACCCACAGCATCCTCTGAAGGATTTTAAAGCATCCCAGGGTGCTGCATCACTCTGGTTGAGAATCATTGTTTTAGACTGTTAACTCTAGTATTAATTAGCAATAACAAATCTTCTCCCCTTCTGTTTTACTCCTTTACAGGGCACATAACCATTACAAACTACTTGTTGAACTATTTTCCTGGTCTTGATATTGAGAAGAGGAATGTATTTGGATACACAGCACTGATGAAAGCTGCAATGCAAGGCCGAACAGAATGTGTGAGAGCCTTAATGTTGGCAGGTACGTGAAGTGCTTTGCTTCTTTATTGTCATCCTCATTGCTCATGGAAAACATGACAGTGCTGTGCATCAGTGAAAACCTGGCACTTCCACTCTTACTTTATTGAGTGCCAGGGTGGAGCTTATGCTGCGTAAGTAAGTACATTTGGAATGTCCTATACATAGAGAAGAGAAGCAGTGATTTTATAATGTTAATGATAATGGCACTTTGGTTTACTGTGGAATTTCCACCTGATCTCCAAGGAAATTGCAAGCATTCATCAAATTAGTTACTTACGCACTTCTCATGAATGATATATTACTATTTACATTTTCTAGACGGGGAAATTGAGGGATGAAAGGTTAATTGACTTGTTCACTGTAATATGAGAAGTTTAGGAAAAGCATGGAACAAAATGTAGATTTCCCCACTGTTGTGCTCCAGTCAATATGGCATTTTTTCTCATTGTATGAACAGAGTAGAGCACAGTAGGTTTTTAATGTTGGTGAATACAGGGTCAGACACCTTTTTTGCAAAAGAATGGGATATGTTGCCCGAAAAAAGATAAGAGTCTGCAAAATTGAACAAGGTTCTTACAGGAAGGTTTGTGTGGTTCTTTCTGAGTTTCCTTGCAAATGTTTTGCCTGGTCCAAATGGCATAAGCCCGATACAGTGTTTCAGTATTGTTTAACATTTTGGTGAAACAGTACTGATTTGGATGATAGGATTGCTTAGCAAATTTGGGGACAACAATATCGATGGATGGAGCTGCAGACACTTTGGAGGTCAGGCTAGAATCCAGAATGACCTGGATAGAGTAGAAAAAAGGTCTGCAATCAGTCAAATAAAATTCCACAAGGACAAATGCAGAGTCTTGTACTTGGTTTGGAATAATTGCAGACACAAATACAGATTGGGGAATGACTGGCTAGGCTGCGCTACTGCAGAGAAAAACCCTGGGGTTGTAGTGGAGCATAAGCAGAATATGAGCCAACAGTGTAGTATGCTCTTGTTGCCTAAAAGGCCAACAGCATAGTGAGTTGTAGTAACAGGAGCATCTCTTACAAATCAAGGGAAATGATTCTTTTACTCCGGCACTGGTGAAGCCAAAGCCTCATCTAGAGTACTGTGTCGAGTTTTAGGCTCCACACTGCAAGAAAGATGTTGAGAGTTTTTGGCCCCATACTGCAAGAAAGAACTGGTGGAGACAAAAATAAATGGTTAGAGACTTTGGAAACATGAATGATGAAGGACTGAAGCATCTTGGATATTTAGTCCAGAGAAGAGAAGACTCCAGGTGAATATAAAAACAGTCTTCAAATACCTGAAGCGTGATTATAAACAGGGGAGCAATAGACTTTTCACTGTGACTGTAGAGGACAGGAATAGGAAAAACTGCCCCATATTGCAGCACAGGAAATTTACAAATTACAGAAAGAATTTACTGACTATAAGTATGGTCAGGCATTCAATGGACATTTTCATGTCCAAGTTAAACAGACACTTGACTAGCATGGTCAGGGATGATCCTGCCTTGAGCAGGGCACTAGACTTGATGACCACCTGAAGTCTCTTCCAAGCATATTTTCCTAAGAATATTTAAATATCATGCCATAACTGCGTGGCAACTGTTAGAATTATAACGCTCCTTGGTATTAACTGCAGAGATATTACAAACTGCATGTGGTAATCAGATATAACTCTTTCTTAGGTGGCACTGTTGCTCTTTGAGAAACCAACATGGAGTGGATCAGTGTAAAAAAAACAAACAACAAAATATACTCTGAACTATTTTTATTTCTCTGTAAATATATCCTTCTGCCATTAGCAGTCATTTATAGAATATTTGTCATTATTTTTTTCTGAAGCTTGGGACATATAATATCCATTATAATAAAGGAAGCATTTTGCTTAATGACTTCATTACATTGGCATGAAGTTGGAAAAGGAAAATACATGTTTATAGTAACTTAATTGCATTCTGCATTGATTTTGAAATGTGATTTTTATATAATTCATTTCTTTGTGTTCATTTACTATTATCTATTCTAATTTATCTTTGAAGTTGCCTTGTGAATGAAAATACGTGGAATAGGAAAGTTTGATTAAATACTTTCTTTCATGCATTTTGATATCACAGAAGAAAGACTCTTCTTCAATTTGGACATTGCTGAATGACAGTCTTCTTATTGCATCAGGAGAATTAACATATCTATTTTTCATAGTATCCAGTTTCCACAAGTTGGTCTGATGTGAAGAATTAATTAACAGAGACTCTGGGGTAATTCTGGAGATGTTATTTTTTTGCAAGATTTCCTCAGCTTGGTGTTTTGGCATCAAAGTTTTGACTAGGTTGCATGATAATTAATCATTTAACTGACCTCCCCCAGAAGCATCTCACTCTCCATATTCCGAAAGCTAAGGCCCCTGTTGCCTCATTGTGGTGGGACAGTATTCCCACTGGCATGTATGCCCATTGAACTGCGCAAGTGTCCACAAATGGACTTGGGACTTTTCTGAATTACTACAGTGCAGCTGGTTTCCTCTGCTAAACAAACAACATAACATTTCTGTCTAGGTAGTCATTCTGGTTTGGTTTTAAGTTGCAGATCATTTGCTATTTGTTTTCCTACCTCCCTTTCTGACAATCTGCAGAATTGCTTTTTGCATTCTGCACTTTGCAGATCTTGTCACAATAATAAACATTTAAAGTTATTGATCCCTAATGGGTAAGTTTAAATAATGTTTATATAACAACTGTTAATCTGTCTGCTGTTCCATTACCTTTAGTACCTGTTGCAACAGCAGTTGGTATGCACATCCATGACTGGTATGACTGTGCAAAAGAATAAATTTAATCTGTATTAGCAGAGAATACCCCTGTTTGTTCAGAGTGTATATTGTGGTATGTTTCAATATATTGTCTGCTTCTGCGGCATACGGATGTTTGTATGTTAGCGTCACACCAGACTGGGAGCAGGGAAGGAATGGTAAATCATGGAGTCAATAGAGGAGAAATGAAGTGAGGCTGAGGCAGCCAGTGAGGTTCATACCCAGGCGAATGTTTCGTTACATTCAGCAATTTTCCAGTTTATGAACCTTGGTTAAACTAGGATGATGTCAGAGTGTGGTTACTATGCAAAGATTCTGTCCCATGTTCCCAGATGAAAAGAAACTTTAATAAACTAGATGGAAGGCTGTCAGCACATATTAATAAATTGAATATTTTTAAAAAAGGAATCAAAAGATTATTGGAAGTTTCAGTAAAAAAAATCTCTTGGAAAAGCAGTAAATTCTAAATTTGGCAAAATAAGAAACAATTGAAATCACTCTTAATCCTACCTTTGTAGTCTCTCCCTAAAACTTAAGCACTTGCCTAGGAAAAATGGCCTGATGAGATGACTTTTTAAATTCTATAGGCACCATGGGGGTGAACCCAACTTGAGATAGCAGCTGGCCAATTTTGCAGGCAGATCGCAGGGCCTGCCACCATTTTTGTGGACTTATCATGGCAGGCCCCCCATGTCTCTGATTGGTGAGGGGCCCCATGACCACATCCCCTGCCACTGATTGGTGGAGAAGGTTATCTGTCATCTGGTGCTGCTCCTCGCCACTGGTTGCCTGAGAGGGCTATCTGTCATGCAGCTCCACCTCATGCTGCTGATTGGTGGAGAGGGACATGGCTGCACAACAGGCAGCCCTCTCAGCCAGTCAGTGGCGAGGGGTGGAAATGGCAGTCATCGTGGCTGCTTTCCTACATGCTGGCAGTTCCCTGCTTGCCAAGCTGCACAGATGGGAGGATTTCTGGCTCCCACTGAGCAGCCAGCATTTTATTTTTAGCCATCTTTTTTTTTTTTTTTTTTTTTTGCAGATTTCATGGAGATTGCCTGATTTTGCAATTTCAGTGAAATCTGTGAAATTATGATTTGAGTAGGTCCCTACCTATGAATCCTGCAGACTGGAGCCTACTTAACCTCTTGTAGTTTCATATTTTGGCTTCACAGGTGATGAAATTGGAGCCTTTGGAAAACTTAAAAAACATCACAGGAAACAGATAACAAAACTATCCATATGCACAGGAGTTAAATGATTTGCATCTTTGGAGATCTTTACATTGTGGATAAGAGAAAGTTGTGATGGTTGTAAGACACCCAAAGGATAGCATAGAGAAATGAAATGGGGAAGATAAGATAAAGAGCAATAAATTCTTGAGTATCTGTATGAAGTGTAAGAGAAAGTGTATAGCTCAATGGAGGGTGAACTGAAGGATAATTTGTTACGGCACAGATGGCCTTTGTAAATTAGAAAGATACTGCAAGCATTCATATGTCAAATAAGGTAAAGCATAGGAGGGTGGGTGTTATATTGCTGATGTTAGAAATGTACAATATTCAGGAAAACTTTGCTTCATGAATTTAGCAGGTCTACAAGGAAAGGTTAATTTCTATGGGATCCTTTAACTCTGCATTTTCATAGTTTCTAATATTTGTTTTTTTTAAATAGTTTAAAAATAGCTAAGAACAAAGGACCATCAATGTTATCAATGATATTTTAAGATTCTACTCCCTTTTCTCCCACTCCAACATAACTAACTGGAATGTATTTACAGTATTATTTCCAGCTTAATGAGGTTTTTAGTCTGGCACTTTCAGATGCGTATATGTCACACTATGGCAATCATGAAGTTTGCCAGTGTTACTGAACAGTAAGCAAGTAAGCAGTCAGATAGTAATCATAAACAAGTTTGCCATGGTGTTTTTGTAAGCCATAGACCTCATAGTTTTTAGTCTTTTGGTTTAATTCTTTTCCTTTCCTTTCTGCCTTTCCAACTCATTGCTATTGAGAAGGTAACTAGTATGATGATAACCTGTCTCTTGTGTGTGTTTGGGTGGTGCATGTGGGATACACACACACACTTTGTTCCTGTCTACATTCCAGGAAACAAAAATGAAGTTTCTGCTTCTACGGAAGTCTCATATACAAACCACTGTAGATTAAAGCTTGCCAGACTGATCTTACAA